GGAACCTGAGGGGTATCAAGGTACTCGTCCTCTCTTAAATACTTCTCCCGAATATCTGGGAAGCGCTCATAGAACCAAGCACATAATGAAAATGGAAATCCACAACCAATATACTCAGTTGAATGATATTTATTCTACTTGTTCAATGCATGTTTCGGTGAGGTAATGAGCTTTTCATAACACACATTACCCCAAGGATATTCAGCACAAGCCTTATCACCTTCAACAATAGCTGCATACTCCTCCAACACAAATGATTCATTCTTTTTTCCAAACAAAATAGACTCCATAACAAGAATTTCCATGAGCTTCACAGCATCTTCATCATCTCGCATACGTGTTCAAAATTCACATCATCCTTTTGGATTTCAATCTGGGTCATAAAATCTCGACAACGAAGTCACAAAAGTGAGAGAAATTCATATCACACATTAAGAACTTTAACATTTAGAGTTCAACAATTTAACTTTGCTATAAAATTCAGGTGCAAAAAATCAAGGATAGTTCTCTTTTACACGCCAAAGCACTATGCCTGAGAAGCTATCATGACAAGTACTCCCTCTGTCCCAATTATTATGGTGGAACTCAGATTTCGAGAGTCATACTTTTTAATTTTGATCGTGAATTCAGACATAAAATATTTAAGTTTTTCAAAACAAAATTATATATTTAAAAATTACGTAAAAAGTATTATAAGTTACAATAATTAACAAATCAAAATATCTAAAAGGCATATGAAAAAATTACAGTTAAAAAACTCGTTTGATTCTCGAAATGTCAAACTCTGCCCCACATATTTTGGGATAAAGGGAGTACTAAACAACAATATGGGTGTAAAACTGATTTGGGTTTGGGCATTTAAATTGTTGGACATATATGAAATTGGGATAAATCATGGGAAATCTACTCTAAATGCCTATTCAGATAATTTTAATTAGTAAAAATAGCACAGTCTAGCCAATTTTCTGACTGGTCATTCAAAAATAGCCAGCGTTTACCAAGTCAATGAAAAATAGCCACTATTTTACTGCAACAGAGATCGGTCCAGCATAATACACTGTAGTTCGGTGTACCTGTGTATGAACTTCCAGCATATTATGCTGGACCGGTATACTTTGCTGGCTCCAGTATAATATACTGGAGACTGGAGCACCGATGCTCCAAACTCTAGTATATTATGCCGGACCGGTATATTATACTGGAACTCTAGTATATTAGAATACAGTTCCAGTATAATAACTCCAGTATATTATGCTTGAGTATTTTTTCGGATTTTGAACAGTGTTTTGTTCAGTTTTGTCTTTACATGAAAAGTGGCTAAATTTTAATTACTTTTGAAATTGGGCTATTTTTGAACGACCACTTGTAAAGCTAGCTATTTTTGAATTTCTCCCTTTTAATTACCCGTTACTGCCCATTCTAATTTGTCTTACCATGTGTATCTATGAAATCAAAAGTATTTACCCAACTACCTATTTTCAAAATCCTTTCCTTTCTAATTCCGGATCACGTGAAACCCTATTAATTGCCGCTTCCTCACGTGTAGCATTTTTATCTGCAACTTTCTGTGATGCATCATGAGCAGCATGTTCTTCAGTATCAACAACTTGATCATCTGCACCTTGCTTGCTTCCAACATTCTCAGTTGATAAACTGTTCATCGTTTCCATCTTTGCTCAGTCTATCAACACTGGGACATTCCTCTTCAACTTGTTGTTGAACATGTTGATCACCTTCAAGAGCCGCTTCCTCACGTGTAACATTTTCATCTGCGGCATTATGCGATGCATCATGAGCAGCATTAATATTCGATAGATGTTCGAAAGAGTCGTTCATCCTATCATATTGTCGATAGTTCATCAAATCAAAATTGACGTCGTCCATTCCATTTGATTTGTCGACAATCTTAAACAACTTTCCAAACTTCTCACCAAAATATTCCTAGAAAAAAATTACTAACAATGGTTAATCTGAATAACATTAGCAGAAAAAAAAGACTTCTCCATAAATTAACTTACCTTCACTTTTATTAAAATCGCATCCACAATAGCAGATTGCTCATCCCGTTTAAACTGCTCAACAACTTCATTCTCGATCATGATTCTTTCTTTTTCTGGTGCCTTTGAACCTCCATCGTAACCCTCTAGTATAGAGACACAGAACAAAAACTTCAGGTATAAAAGAATGCCGAAGTTCAGCAAATACAGAACACAACTTCAGCTATTGTAATGCTGAAGTTCATCACAAACAAAACAAAACTTCAACTCTAAAACATGCTGTAGTTTTACAAGAACACAACCAAAAAACATCAGCTCAAAACGTACAGAACATATTGTGTTGACTAATTCATTGTCAAACTCCGTTGTAGAATGGTTAGAACGACTCTAGGTACGACGTGATTCGCCAATTACAGGAGTTCGATTCACTTCTTTTGATCAACTCCGACTACGTGGTGATTCACCAGTTGAAGGAACCGCATTAAATACCTTTGAACGAATCCGGCTGCGTGGTAATTGTCTAATTAAAGACATTGAATTCAATTCCTCTTCTGTAGGAATTATATCCAATACCCTAAACGTGCGATATCTCTGTTTAATACAAAAAAAGTATATTATGAGAAAAAATAAAACTAATACGTTAACATATTAACATAAAGACAAAAATAAAAAAACATTAACTTACAACATGATTACTGAAGTAATTCTTCATAAAGTTCTTTAAATTTAGGCCCTCCCATACATACATAACGTAACATCATGGGAACCTGAGGGGTATCAAGGTACTCGTCCTCTCTTAAATACTTCTTCTGAATATCTGGGAAGCGCTCATGGAACCAAGCACATAACGAAAATGGAAATCCACCAACACTATACTCAGTTGAATGATATTTGTTCTACTTGTCCAATGCATGTTTCAGTGAGGTAATGAGCTTTTCATAACACACATTACCCTAAAGATATTCAGCACAAGCCTTATCATCTTCAACAATAGCTGGATACTCCTCCAGCACAAATGATTCATTCTCCAAAAAAATAGACTCCACAACAAGAATTTCCATGAGCTTCACAGCGTCTTCATCACCCTCGCATACGTGTTCGAAATTCACATCATCCTTTTGAATTTCAATCTGGGTCATAAAATCTCGAATGTCCTTCAAGATCACACCATTAGACTTCTAAAATAGCGCTTCAGAATCCTTCTCTCTCGTTTAATTGATTTTTCAACATTATGTGATGTGATCCACAAACCGCACATAATGTGAAAAAGTCTTCAAGGGTGAAGGATACATCATGGCCAAAAATCTTGAAACTAATGGAATCTCGATCATTGGTGAATATTCGAGAAAGACACAAATAATGAACCAACTTCATGGTGCATTTGAAATTCGCCATAGCCATAATATATCGAAATATACCATTATTGAGCTTATCCTGTTGTGCAGGAGTCAAGAAACTTGCAATTAAACTCTTCAAATTGTGGTTCCCCTTCCACTAACCACGACAGTTAAACAAATCTTGAAACTCATAATATCTATCCCTTGGTTTTGTAGGTGGAGAAACATGTACTGAAGGACCTATGAATATTCTACGTTCTTTAGGTGCTTTAGCTGCTTTAGGATTTGTAGGTGATTTGGATTTTGTAGATGGCATCTGTTCAAAAAAAAGTAAAAGATACAAAAAATAACGTCAGAACATTATCAAAAAAATCATAATAAAATTACATAGTGCAGGAGGGAAACTTCAGCTCGTTTTCCTGAAGTTTCTAAAAATGAACTAAACAACTTCAGCATTTTATACTGAAGTTTTTGTGCAATATGTAATTAAAATAAAAATTACATATTGTACAAAAACTTTAGCACAATAAAACATATTGTTTTTTGTAGTTTTTACAAAAAAACAAAATGCAAATTCAACACCAAAATAATGCTGAAGTTCATAAAAAATATAACAAAAAACACAAAACACAAAACACGAAACAAAACTTCAGCTCCTAAAAGTAAGGTATCATTGAAGTATTATAAATTTAACACTTTAATAATATCATCTATTTAACTCTCAAAAATTTTAAAAATTCCAACGTCTCAAAAAATCACCGAAGAATTTTTAAAAAAACAAACACACGTTCAAAAAACCTAAAAACACAATCGTAAAAGTAAAACTAATGCACTTATCAAAGTAAACCCTAGGAAACTATTTTATCATAAATACATGACTATCAAAACCAAAACCAGAAATTAAATCGTAAAAATTATTACTAAAATTAAACCCAAAAAGTTAATGCAATGTACCTGTGATTATACGTAATGTTATTGGAAACAAACAGTTGAAAAAAATCAAAAACAATGACGAAAACCGTTTGATTTCAGAAAACAACAAATCAAAAAACGCAAATAACAGGAGAGAGACAAAGACAGTAGATGACTGACATATACTTGGAGAGAAAGTAGTTTTTTAATAAAGAAGGGCAAAATAGTCTTTTTAAAAGGCTTTTAACAAAAAAAACGGGTACAGGTGCAAACAGAAAAACAAAGCGGCTACAGGTTAAAAAGGGACAACCAAATAGGGCGCCCCATGCAATTTTTATGGATTAATCGGGGACCATGAATTTCAAATATCAGATGGTTAAACTGGGAAAAAACATATAATCAACAGAATGTCTAACAATAATAATCAGGGAACAGCCAACATTTTTTCCTTTCTTCCCCCTTAAAGAAAAACAATAAGCCATATTAGTGATCATTCTAGAAATGTAAGCCCTGTACTTAGACTCACGCATGTCAAAGTGCTCAAGAAGCAACACTAGCAGGGTTAATGTCATGTTTAGTTATGACCATTCTAAAAGCTCTAGCTTTTTGAGATGGCAATGGTTAAAACAGATGCAAAAGTGGCAAAGCAGCAGTGACTACTGAGCAGTCGATTGCAGCATGGTCTATGTCTTATTAACTGAGAACCATTCTGAAAGCTCAAGTTACTGGAGCTAAACAGATGTGCATATAGATTCTACTCTGGTGTAAGTTCTGTATATTAAGGATGAAGCAGCCATATATTATCCATCTTTTGCATATATGATACTAATGGTCCACGCAAGACGGAGGTCCAACAGAGAAAGAAAATAAAGTAGAAAACCACAAATGAAACAAAATCCTGCAAGGGAGATAAACAGAATTAAAGTATATCGGAGTTGCGTATAACTTTAGCAACACAAAAGCTAGAAGGTTGTTCCGAAGTGGAAACCAGAAGGGCTAGCTAATAGCCAAATCTTGACAAGGAGATGTGCATGAAAAATTGTATAGTGGAAGATAAATCATGATCAAGATTGTGCAGGTGGACAGTTACATGAAAACAATGTTCTGATAGATAGATAATTAAAGAAGAAGACAGAAAGCAGTTAATTGGTTGAAGATGAGAAACTTTGGAGGGAAAAATTCAGGCCCATACTAAAAGCGATGATAGGCAGCTTGAAGTAAGTAGGCATGAAATGTAAATTTGGAAAGGGAGAATAATATAGATCAAACGGACACATAGTGATAAAGGCATGAATACATCACAATGGTCTAATGAACAAGGTAGAGCATGTCATTTGTCAATACATAATTGATTGCTTTACTTTTTCTGTTAATATTAATTGCCGTTTTGCAACAAATTGAATGTTCTGAAAGAAGTTTCATCATCATATTTTCCTAGTCATTCATATTCCCAAAAGTTCCTGACAACTCAATTTCAATTGTTTCTCAAAATCTTCCTTCCCTTATGGTAAGTTTCTCTAGAATTCAAGTTCAAAGAATACAATAGTCAGCAAAAGGCCATGTTATATGGATCATCTGCCTTGATTGTACCTGTGGTTTAATGACATTAGTTGAACTAGACAGACAAACGAAAAAAACGTCAAGTACAAATTTTCTCCAAAAATATCAGAGCTAGATTCTGTGATCTATCTAGTTATTGTGTTCCCACTAGTACTACTAACTTTCCCTTGTATTCATGTTCAAAGAATAGAATAATCAGCAAATAGCTAAATTATATGGATCATTTGCCTTGAAGTACCTGTGATTTAATGACATTAGTTGAACTAGAAATACCAGAGGTAGATTCCGCATTACTTATCCTGCATATCTTGCCGTGGAAGTCAGAACCAAACAACCCCGAAATATTTTTCAGTTCACAGCACTCAAAATTCCTTTTTTCCCATTGAGGGCACACAAAATTCTACAAAGGAAAAGACCACTTCTTTTCAAACTTTGAGCAATGCATCAAAAATTGTGAAGAACTCAATCAGAAAGGCATCAACACATTTAATTGCACCGATATAATGACATTGCATCTTACTGTTCTGGTAGTGGTAGACATATAAATCCACATAGATGTTACTGATACTATGGTTCAGAGTAGAACTTAACAGATAGCTTTCCAAAGGAAGGTTTCAAAAGAACGCTACTAATATTATTTGCGTGCATCTTGAATTCTAGAAACATCCATCAACTCAGAGACTTGCTTTGGCAATATAACATTCTTTGCACCTTACTTATCTCCAAAAAAAACAATCATTGCAGCTTCTCCTTGGGTATTCTCTTCCTCACATTGTTTTTTTTCCAGCGTAAAAGTTTGCTTTCAGATGCAAAACACCCAAATCAAACAAAAAACACTCCATTCTTCCTGAAGTCTAGACCATAATGACACTGTTTTTTCTATAAGATAATTTAGGCTAAAGAATCCCAATGGAGGCAGTATAATTACATGGACAAGTCCAGTCAGATAACTAACTATGTAGAACAACCACAAAACTGTCCATTGCCAAATAAGTAATCACTCAGAGGTGAAGAAACTTGCAGGAAATGTTAAGATATGACCAAATTTATAAAATCTATGCAAGAGTACATTCAAGTTACATGACTAGTAATCTAGAAAGAAAGAATAAAATGGGTCAGATTGACAGTTTCTCGATGACACTAATATCATGTTTTACAGTTAGAAAATAAGTTTGCAAATGTCTACCTATTGTTGGCAATCTGAAAGAAGGCACAACATGTCAATAACTAGTCTCAACCTTCAATGATTCTTATGATTTACCGGATTCTTATATTGGCATTCGTTTCCAATTATAATTCAACTTTTAAAGACTCCTTCAGAACTCAATCTCGGAGGTTCCTCAAAAACTTACCTTCCCTTTAGCTACTTATCCTTGTATATTAATGTCCACAGTGTTACAGGATACAATGGCCAATAAAGGAACTCTAACTACGCAGTGAAGGATACAATTCGTAGAAAAATGTATCACGAAAATTTAACTGGTAGATTGATTGTTCAAGAAACTTATCTGTTGTCGTCCCTCTATTAGATTTTAGGAATGTAACCACATGGCCACAAACATAACCTTAAGTTTTCAGGCCCTCACAATTCTTCAAATGGGGAAATCACAACAATTTGGCAACACATTTAGAATGAAATGGATGTATTAGTAGTATTAGTATCTCTCACAAAATATAAGGCATCAATAACTTGTATAAACCTTTTCACATAGTGCTAACAGTAAACTTCTACACCTCTACACAAACTACTAACAGTAGACTCCAAAGCAGATCGAAACAGAGAACTATATTTATATAAGCAGCCATTGAAACAGAGCTTTTTTACCTAGTTACTTAGTTCAATCATTTGAAAGTGTCATCATCACTGAGTTCATCTTCAATGCTAGAAACATCCAATCTAGCAGATGCTAGTTTTGCCCACTTAACAATCTTCTCAGCTTCTCTATTAATCTTCTCTTGCTCCATCATAGCTTTCTTCATCAACTTCTCTTGATTTTTCAATGAAAACGCACTCAATTCCGATAAAAACTCATCATTCTTCCCCCATTTCATACCCCGATTCTCTTTCCCCTTTTTATTCGACCCCTTCTTAGGAGAACACCAAAAACACCCAGTTTTCTTTGGTGGAGACAAACAATCTTTTGAAAAATCCCAAGAATCTGATGACATTGAAGATTTTGACTTTTCCCCCTTTTTTCCATCTGGGGATTTTGTAAAAACATCATCTTTATTCGAATGAACCTTTGATTTTGTTTGTTTCTGAACAAACCCATGTTCCAAATTCACCTCAAAACCCTTTTCCTCAACTGGGTTTTTTGTATAAACATCATTTTCTTGAACAAACCCATGTCCCAAATTCACTTCTGAACCCTTCTTTTCCTCAACTGGGGTTCCTTCAATTTTCTCATTGTCCTCATCATCATAACTTTTCTTGTTTTTTGGGAACTCCGAGGAACAGAAACTCTTGGAACTTTTTGTGAGAGTATCGGGTTTTGAGGATGTTGTTGGAAGTGATTTGAGTTTGCGAAAGCGAGTTTCGAGCTGAGTGGGGAGAAGAGAGTCAGTAAAGCCAGAGCAGTTTATAGCAGCAACTTGTTCAAGAACAGATTGGTCCATTGCTTGAGAAAGGAGTTCATCTACTGCTTTTTCATTGTCGCTATCATCAGAAAGAAAAGAAAAATCTGCCATTGTCTAAAATGAGGGGAGAAGTAGAAGAAACCAGAAAATTTAAACTGATTTTCCACAGGCTTTAGGGGTTACATCAGTGGAGCTTCTTTCATTGCTATAACGGCTAACTCACAATTTTGGAACGTTATATTCGGGAGTCAAAAAGTGTGGGATGGTGGGACCCATCATTTGATGCTGTTTCCAATTCTTGCTTATTGGTCTGTTAGTGTTTACGGCTAGCGGGTCGGTTTTGTTTAGAAGTTTTTATTTAGTAAACCAAATTAATTGTATTTATTTATTATATTTTTAAATTATATCAAATCAATAAAAACGAGATATTCTAATCTCAACCTTTTTAGATTGTTTCATATTTTAATTTTTTGATTTTTTTGTTTTTCGATGTGAAGCATCTTGCAAGAACAAGTCTTTGATTTTCTTGTTGAAATATAATGTAAATTGCCAATTATTTCAAACAATCATACCTAATTAATTTTGTTTTAATCAATTATACACCAAACTATTGATAACAAAGTCACAAAAGTGAGAGAAATTCATATCACACATCAAGAACTTTAACATTTAGAGTTCAACAATTTAACTTTGTTATAAAATTCAGGTGATAAAAAACCAACCATAGTTCTCTTTTACTGTTTTACACGCCAAAGCAGTATGTCTAAGAAGCTATCATGACAAGAACTCCCTCTGTCCCAATTTTTATGGTGGAACTCAGATTTCGGGAATGAAACTTTTTAATTTTGATCGTGAATTCGGACTAAAATCTTTAAGTATTTCAAAATAAAATTATATATTTAAAAATTACGTAGAAAGTATTATAAGTTACAATAATTAACAATTAAAAATATCTAAAAGGCATATGAAAAAATTACAGCTAAAAAACTCATTTAATTCTCAAAATCTCAAACTCTGCCCACATATTTTGGGATAAAGGGAGTACTAAACAACATTATGGGCGTAAAACTGATTTGGGTTTGGGCTTCATTTAAATTGTTGGACATATATGGAATTGGGATAAATCATGGGAAATCTACTCTAAATATCCTATTCAGTCAATTTTAATTACCCGTTACTGCCCATTCTAATTTGTCTTATCATGTGTATCTACGCAATCTAAAGTATTTACCCAACTACTTATTTTCAAAATCCTTTCCTTTCTAATCCCGGATCACGTGAAACCCCATTAATTGTCCCAACCTATTTTCTCTTTTATTGTCTTCTCAAATATAAATAAACGTTTTTCTTTTATCTTTCTCATTTCATAATAGGATGCGCGTATCCATTGAATATTTTTTATTAATTTATTCTCTATTTCAAAATGATATATAATATAATATTATAACATATCTAAATTTTAGTATAATCGATGACGCACAAAATTGAGTTATTGGATTATGTGACAACGAATATTATTTCAGTTTAATAATTGAATTAAAAAAAATCTTTTTTAATCTCTTTGCGTACAACTGTATACCATGTTGGTATATCTATATACTATACTGGTATCATATGTTAGTTGGAACCTTTTTTGGTTGTATTAGCTACATTTAATTGGTACATTATTTGATTTTTCTTTAGTAATAGTAGAATAGTACAATATCTTGAATTTTTTAAATTTTCCTTTATGCATATGTATTATGTAATCATTTTAATTTTTTCTTTATGCGTTTGTTTTATATAATAGTATTGTAGTGCAATATCTTGAAATATATTATTATATTAATATGTGTACACTATGTTTTGATTTTTTCTTATGCATGTGTATTATGTAATAGTAGTATAGTCATATATAGTTGCTTGAAATTAATTAGTAGAACTGTATACCCTATTGGTATAATTATATGTCATATTGGTATCATATGGTACTTGGAATATTTCTTTTGTTGTTTTAGCTATATTTTTAAATGAATTTTATTCTGAAATGATTTATATGATCATATTTTGCTGTGTTGGATTTTCTTGTACATATGGACATAGATTTTGTGTATTATGTATTAGTTTTTATAGTTATATGCAGTTGTTGAGCGGCCTCGTACAACTATATACCCTATTAGTATAGCTATATACTATATTGGTATCATATGTTAGTTGAAACCTCTTTTGGTTATATTAGCTGCATTTAATTGGTACACTATTTGATTTTCTTTTAATAACAGTAATATAGTACAATATCTTGAAATACTTTATTATATTAATATGCTATTTTTTTTTATTATTCTCTCGTATGTTGTGTAATAGTAGTATAGTCATATAGTTGCCAAAAATTTACCAGTATAACTATATGTAAGCGGTGAAATTAGAGGGGCCGATTTCCCGCCATCAAGTCATCTCGGGGAGGCGCCTTGAGACCCCAAGGACACGAAACCACAACTTGGACCTCTCCTTCGGGGCTTGTCGAGGTCCGATCGAGGTCGAGATAAAGACAAAGGGGGGAAGCCCCCAAGACACGCGGTTGAGCCTGACAGGCCGGCCTATCCATAGCCTATGCTGAGGCGTCGAGTCAAGCCATCACATCTCCATATTTCATAAATTAGATATACATGTATTCGTAGCTAAGTTTCCTCTCCTATATAAAGGGGACTCGCCCTACCTTGTAAGCGACTGTTGTTGCTCCCACAATTCTACAAAGTGCAATAATATCTTTCTCTCTCTCTTCTTACTAAAACTTATTGGCTCTCACTGATGCCGAGGATACCTCGATATCCTTTGCCTCTATATGTGTTCTTCATTTTATATGTGTTCTTCATCGTATAACTCAATTTCGGTTATAAATAGCTTCGCTTGATTATATCTCTAGCTGTTATATTACTCTCGATTGTCCCCGATAGCCCGAGCACGACCTCGCGATCGACCTCGAAGTCCCCATCGGCCAAGCTTACATCCGGATAGCAAGCCCTTTCGTTCGAACATTATCTCGTTTTAGCTCACGCTCCATCGTTAAAATTCATAATACTAGCATCATCTGCTCTAGCAACTAGCTTGGGAATAGATCACATATTTTTAGAGTCCCATTTCATAAATTTCATTGTCGTTACCATTTTCACGGAAAACAGTTTGGCGCCCACCGTGGGGCTAAAAATAATAGTGATTATTTTCTTGCTAGTTTTATTACACAAACGCATATCATCTTTCACACTTTTTCTTGTCCAAGATCCTTTGATTTCAGGTAAAAATGTCTGGCTCAGTGAACAGAGTTGAGAACGACCGCCTCGAAGATCACGGGGAAAATGGTGTAGCTATCCCGGCTGCCGGAGTACCGCTACAGGATCCCGATAATGTACCCGGACCAATACTAGCGGACACGGACTCACAAGACGTACAGCAAGTCAACGAAACTTCTCACACCGACAGAGGCGCACGACACAGTGACCGACAGGAAGTTCAAAAAACCCCGGCCCGGGAAGAACAGGAAGTTAGTCTTCACGATATTTTTGAAATGTTGCAGGCACAACAACTGGCCATTACTCAGTTGCAAAGCCATCCGAGGGCCCCCAACGTAGCAACACCGGAGACAGCTTCCCCTGACGAGCGCACCATCAGTCACGCATGCACAAAAAAAAAATAGCGACTTTCAAGATGACCCCGCCGCAAAAACATACGCCGATGTCATCGAAGCAGCAGCGACGGAAACCGACAAGTCGGAGGCCGAACAAAGAAAAGAAGAAACACCACAAGAAGTCGCATCTTGATCCCTGATAGGACGTATGAGATCGCATTCGGCTTCGGATGAACAGACAACCCTGACCTTTGCTCGGGGTTTAAACAGAGCATACCCGCCGACCCCAGGTCGTTTCAAATGACGTTTAGCTAGATACCCAGCTGAGATTTGGCCGTGCGTCCGTACCCAGCACCGGCCACTAATCGGGGCCATAAGCGGTCATCCAGAAACCTCCGCAGAAACAGCACACCTAAGCAGGCCTTCCACGAAGAAACTAATGCCAAACGGATGGAGATACCATCCATGCACCGCTAATGGGAGGAACTCCTCAAGATCCAACCTACCTCGCAACGGTGGGGGAGTAGTCCGAGGGCGACGTCCCAGGGGAACCTCCAGCGGAACCAGATCCGGTGAGGCACAGCCGACAGACGAACCTCGCCCAGCAGAGTGCGGGCTCAACATTGTTATGCCAAATATCGTAGTCACCATAAGCAAAACCAGGAACGTTGAGCGACTCAGGCCTATTCGACCAAGGCCCCTTCGAAAGAACCACAACCCGACGCGGAATCCGCAGGACGTGAGCGGCAGCGGGGCCACAAATGATTCCCGTCTAGAAAATATGACAGCTGTGCCACTCAGTCAAAATCGCCAACGAGTACTATCGAACGGTCAAGCTCAAATCTGGCCCGAGGAAAGAAGACTACCGGGAAGGATGGAGTAAATAAGCCGCGATGTATCACCACGACAATGGAGGAGCGGCTACGCCCTCCGAGAACTCATAACGTGGGAAGCAAAAATACCCGCCACCGGGACAAAGATAGAGCCAGGGAAATATTTCCAAGGATTTTCTTGCATCCAGGGAAAAGGGCACCACAACTCCACCCCAGCGTCACGTCAGCACATTGGTAAACCTCTCCCTCATCCACTTAATCTTAAAATAAATCATGTGTTCCTAGATTCAGGAAGTTCGGCCACCCACAATGACGGCATCGGACTAAAGGTCAACAGGGCGGTCCGCATTAACGAACCAAATCGCCCCCACATCCCGAATCCTTGGTGAACTCCAAATGACAAGTCGCCAAAAAGACCATTCTCTCAATATAGCCCGGCTGAGTCCGAGCTGGGACCTTGGGCTTTACACCATCAAAGGAAGCGCAAAGTATAAATGTTTTATTCGGACGACCACCGAACGCAGACAACTGGCTAGGATGTTCGGAGGTTCTCAAGACTCTACCCGGAGATTCCTAGGTTTCGTATAGGCGACCGCCGTGTTTTCTGCCTTCAGCCGGGCTTCCGCCCCGAATGGAACCTTGTCAGCAAGATTATTGGCAGAACAGCGTACCAGAAGAAGGTTCGATGATGTCACGAGCTTTATTCTGATAACCCAACAACAACGAATGATGGTTTGCCTCTAAAAGCATTCCCCCTCGGGAGGACCCAGATACGACGGACTAAACCCC